AAGAATAGAAAATGTGTGTGTGTGTTACTGGTGTAGAGTTACTTAGAAATCACGTGGCCATCACCCTACAGTTGATAATTGAGAGGAGGGTATATATGCTTGTATGAAAAGGTGGTACTAATATTGTGCTGTGAACAATAGTATTATTTTGAAAGATATGACATTGTGAGTAAACATGTATTATTTTCATATGGATCATTAAACGCTGTTAGGAGTGAGTTTATAATTGAAATGTAGAAAATAATAAAGAGAAAAATAGCATATTGAGATTTAAAACTGGTTTTAATTGTATATCTGTATGATATATAATTTATTTATTACATGTAATTTAGGCATTTTTGGTCTCAAATGTAATGTTTAACCATATTTTTTTAACTTCAGATTCTGTGACTTTTTATACTTGTTTTTTCTTCTCATCATCTACTCCTCCATCTTTCCTTCCTTCTTCCTCCATTTCTGTCTTTTCCTGCATCCCTGCCTCCTTCCTTTCCTTTCTCCATTATCTCTCTGATTTTCTCTCATTCTTTCCTCCCATGTTCCTTTCTGTCTCATTTTATCATTTTTCTATCCTTCTTCTACTCTTCTTATTTTTCAGCAAGGCAGAATTAGGAACTTTGCTTATACTGCACTTTAATAAGCTATTTGCTAAAATTCTAATGATTGTTTACATAGACTTTTTTCTGGGAGTAAGAAGACAACCTTTCGATTCAGTACTAAAAGGCAGAAAGCTTTAAAATAACAAGCCTACAAATGTATCTCCTAAACTTTAAGCAATTTAGAACAGTTGCCTCTATGCAATGTATAGAATTTAACAAATATATGAATACAATGAATTGTACAATATAAATTCAGGTTAATGAAGTAGAATAAAGTAGAAAAAACATATTATTTAACAGTTATATTAGAATTTCAACTCCTTTTAACCTCAGAATATTTAATTTTGAATGAATAAGTAAACATAGTTTTCTACTTTAAAATTAATTTTGCCAGGGGCTGGGGATTTAGCTCAGCGGCAAAAGCGCCTGCCTGGCAAGCGCAAGGTCGTGAGTTCGGTTCCCAGTACCAGAGAAAAACCAAAAAAAAAAAAAAAAAAATTAATTTTGCCTTTGATGGAATAAAAAATTCAGAAATTCAGAAATAGCATTTTGTCTCTCTTTAATGTATAATTTCTTTCCTGTTCGGGACCACAGCAGTAACATATTTCAGGACATTTTGCAAGCATTAGTGCCAGTCAAAATATTTAGAATGGCCTAATATTTCCATCTCTACTCCATTAAACATAAATGATCGTGAAATATGTTTTCTAAGTAATGCCAACATGACAATGATCAATGTGACAAATGAAGACCTGTAACTAAACTGTCCATTTTAGTGTTATACACAGTCCTACTTAAAGCTTGTATAAATTATGCTCCATATACAGTTAATTTAATTTCTCCTAGGACAGAGTATGATTTGCTGCTGTCTCTCTCTAGTTGGTGCAAAGATGTTCAGCAGTACAAGAGGGCATACTGACCTTCTGTGGAATCTGGGCGAAGGCTGAGGCAATGAGGTTGGCTTTTTCCTCTGTGAGGTTTTTCACCATGGACCCCAGAGAAAACACCACAACACCATCTTCACCTGAACTCTGGACAAATTCTTCCATTTCCTGCAGACATCAATTCTTTCCATTAAAAAAGATTCAGCATTTGGGGAGTGATAAAGTGAAAAGCAGTGTGAAAGAAATTGTTAGACAATTTTGTCGCTTGTGTCTAGATGTCCCCCAGAGCCTCATGCATTCAGAGGTTGGACTTTCTAGAGCTGGGTGGATGTAGGGTGTGTGGTGCTGGCATAAAGTGTGTGATGCTGGCGATAAGGGTGCCTCCCTCTGGCTGTGGATAGAAATACCTAAAGGCAGGTAGCCTGGATGCACTGCAAAGGGATAGAAAAAAACTGGCTGTTGCTGTCACAGTTTGGCTGCTGCTGCTCCCGCTGCTGGTATCTTGCTGTTTCTGCTGCTGCTTTTACTTTCTCCTTGCTGGCTTCTACGTGCCTACCCAGCATTGGATTGTTTCTTCTCCGTGATGCTGTTTTGCAAAGCCACCCTACCTTAGAGCCAACTCATTAGGGACTGAATCCTCTACAGATTAAATGAACTGAAATTTATGTTAAACAATCCTTTCCTCCCTTAACTTTTTTGGACTTGAGTAATTTGACTCATCAACAACAAAATAAGTATGACAGGTTCTTCCATCTGAGATATAGAACGTTCTGGTTTAACAGCATTTATATTTTGAAAAGATATCTAAAGTATGCAGTAAGTGATTAAAATACAAGTAATGAGTCAAATCACTACCAAAATGAACAGGCATTGAAGGGCAGCTTTGCTCAAGTGGGGAGGATGGAATCGTTATGTACAGGGTTTAATTTTTCTAACTGACAAAGTTGTTTGCAAATTTTAAAAAGTGTTCATCAAAGAAAGTACAAGAAAGATCCCAGGTGTAAGCCTTACACATTATTAGAAGAGATTAGTAAAGGGTGGGCTCTAGGCAACCTATACATAAAAGTCACTGCAAAATATTAAACTTTCAGTTTTAAAAGAAAACTGGCTGCTGGTACTGCGGCTGCTGCCGCTACTGCTGCTACTGCTGTCACTGAGCCTGCCGCTACTGCTGTTGCTACTGCTAGGTCGCTGTTTCTGCTGCTTTTCTGCCTGCTCCTTGCTCTCCTTTGCTTCCTCTAACCTTCCTTAGACTTTTTCTTCTCTGTGATGCTGTTTTTCAAGGCCACCCTACCTTAGAGCCAACCCATTATGGACTCAAACCTCTATGGACTAAGTGAACTAAAATTTAGGCTAAATAATACTTTCCTCCCTTAACTTGTCAGTATCGGGTATTTTGTCTCAGCAACAACAAAATAATTATGATAGCCAGGTTCTTCTATCTGAGATGCGGAACCATCTGGTTTAAAAGAGAACATATTTAAGTAGGAATAAGTGATTACACCTATAGAATCAAATCACTACAGAAATGAATAAGCATTAAAAAGCAGCTTTGTTTGGTGGGGTTGAATTGTTAGGTGCAGGATTTAATTTTTCTAACTGACAAAGTTGTTTGCAAATATATAAAAGTGTTCATGGAAGAAAGTTCATAGATGTAAGCTTTACACATTTTTTGAAGAGATTGGAAAATGGTGCGTTCTAGGCAATCTACACACAAAAGTCACTCCAGAATACTAAGCTTCCAGTTTTAAACATGTATAAACTTAAAAACTGGCCACGGATGTTGTAGATTTATGCTTTCTTTCAAGACACAAGAGAATTTTCAATCTAGACACTCAGCACCCTTCAAGGTTTTGCCTCTTGTGGTCATCATCAATAACTTCTTCCCTTAAAGAAAGCAAGAGCTGTGAGGAGGTAGAACAGTGTAGGACTGCAACACTAGACCACTGGGGACTTTGAAATCTTGGTAGTTATAAATACATGTAAATGAACTGAACCAAGATATCCTGGTACAGAATGAACCATAGCTCACCGTGTTAGGTCATTTTAGTTTTGGTCAGTGGTAACAGGAAAAGCTAAACATATTCTTGTGAGTGTTGACTCTGGTGCTGTGAAGAGTGGTAATGTAAGCATAGAGCACAAGGGAATGCATTCTGCTGATCACTGACAGCAGTGATTATCCAGTGTTTCCTCTGCAAATTTAAAAAGTCACATTTGGACCTCTTCCCCTCTGTTTCTACTTTCTGTAGAATATGAAGAAAATGATCATTTCAGAAAGCCTGCCTAAATATAGCTTGTGTAACTTCTACTTAGGCTTAGAAAATTCCTACATTTCTATACTTTTGAGCTGCTACTGTTATTGCACTACAGAGTATATGTCCTAATACTTAGGATCCAGAGAGAATAGGACTGTGACATAGAAAAAATTACACTCATTACATTGAGAGAATGATCCCAGTTCCTAAATCCTGGGAGGCCAAACTGACGGCTAAATGAATCTTGGTGGTGTGATGGGACAGTGAAAAACACTTGAAGTTTAAACACAGTGAGAGAAGTGTAGTCAGGTGGGATTTTGTGCTGGAAGGTGATCTGAGTCTGGATGTGCCCCTGAGCCTGGGTACCTGCTGCCTCAAAGGAAACAGACTTCCTCAAGGATGCAAAGGAAAGTTCAGTAAAGAGGTAGAAGTTAGAAAAATGAATCCAGAAGAAATCCCAGAAATAAAAACTTCATAAGTCAAACACATAGTCAACAGAAAGTCTTAGCTATAAGCAAAATGATTCACAGGAGAGTTTGTCAAGACTTGAAGACAAGTTGGATGTGCTAAAGGATTCATTTAGTAAGGATGAGTGAAAATAAAATAAGACATCATATAAAGGTTACCTCAGAGAGTGGGTGAATTTGAATGCCCAATTCACAAGTAAGCCCAACCAGATGAAAAAGAAACAAACTTCAGAGTTAAATTGTATTAAGCATAAAACAGATTGAACAGATATCTACATTATGTTTCATGCAACATCTGATTGGACATACTTTTCAGAGTTCTGTGAACATTTTTAAAAAAGAGACCACATTTTTGCCCAAAATGCCAACCCCATTAAATGTAAAAAAATGAATGACTTTGTAGATGTTATCAGATCACAGTAGAATAAAACTAGAAAACAACAGCTAAAAAAACTGTAGAAATCACCTACACAAAAGAGATTCAATAATGTACTTCAATGTCCAATTGTTCAATGAGAACATCAGGAGAAAACTTTTAATAATTCCTTGAAGAAAATTATAATGAAAAGAAGACGTATCAGAACCTGCTGGGGACAAAGAAGCTACTTTTATGGCTGAAGTTTATAACTACAAGTGTCTACCTGAGAAAAGGGTTATCTCAAGTACATATCACAGAAACATATATAAATATTCTAGTAAAATTAGAAGAAACAAAACAAAAAAACTGTTAAAATGAAATAATTAGTATCAGACATGAAATTAATAAAAATGAGATTAAAAATATAGAAGTCAGTGTTTATATCACTTTAGAGTTGAGTTTTGAACAGGAGAACAATATTGAAAAACCCCTAGCACAACTTGAGTAGAGAAAGAGAAAAAAGGTTCACAATAATAAAATTAGAAATAAAAAATAACTGCAAGAGACACAACTGAAATCTGGAGAATTATGTGAAGCTATTGGAAAATTTGTACTCCACAAAATCCAAAATTAAGAGAATATGTTTAAATACATATGACCTACAACATTTGCATCAACAAGATGAAAAACTATCTAAAGGGACCAATAACAAGCAGTGATATTTATGCTATTTACAACTGCGGCAAACTAAGAAAATCTGATTGAATTAAAGCTTGATAAGTTTTACCAGACCTTTCTGCGAAAGATACTCTAATAATAAGGAGGCAACTATGAATATTATTACCATGTAAGTTTTATGAAACAGATTATTAATAACTTGATCATTTTTTATTTTCTAGACACTATACAAAATTAATTTCCTGAATGTTCTACAAGGCTAAGAGAATTTCTTTAGAAATACTACATATAGTAACATTTTATAAGACAACACAATTAATCTTCTGCTATAATAATGCCATGTATGAGGCAGTGATTCTTGCTCTCTTGATGTATAGATTCGCACCCTAGAATAATGTTAATTGTATTCTCTTAATTTGAGACTTATTACAGAAATAAATCATAAGTTCTTGGAAAAACAAATTCCCTGAGTCATCATTTACAGGTTTGCAAATGTACAGTTGCAAAGTGTGGGACAGGGACTATTCTCAGAGGAATCTATGGAAACGCCACTCTGAAGATGCATCAGTGATTGTCCTGTGTCTGCAACAACTGTGTTCATCCTGGGATTAACGTCCTTCTGAATTTTTGGACCTTAAAAGTACTAGAAGAGTCTGACATCCTCACTGGAAGCAGACTCCTATTTTAGTCTAGTTAACAGCAGTAGAATACTTATGAGTCGCTGTAACTGGTATTTCAGCAATTAATTTACATCCAAATGGTTACTTATTGATGAAAATATCATACACAGAAAACACAGAAACTCACAAATACCCCACACTATTTTAGGAATTTTTTTGATAATTTCTCATTATTTTTTTAAATTAATCGAGTTTATTAGTTCATTTTAGGTATACGTAATGATCACATTCATCACAGGAATCTGTACCTGCACCTGATATAACTTGATTCATTTTTTCCCATTCCCCTACATTTCCTTTAACCTCTCAGTTTTTCTTTATTCTCTGTATGAAGCTTCAATCCCAGACATAAGCCACTCCTCTCATTGAGATTGCTCAAAGTATATAAGTAAATAAACCATGGTTGGAATGGAAACAATTATTCATCTTGTAAAGCACATATGAGTTGTTTTGTGAAGTTGTGTGTGTGTGACTGTGTGTGTGTGTGTGAGGCAGGGCAGGAGGAGTGATGTAAAACTGTGTCATAGAGTATTATCTCTTGCATCCAGAGCTTGGCTGCCAAGTAAACTATTATCAGCATCCTGAAATCAAAGTTTACACTTGTACACGCCTTCCCTATCCTGAACAGAAATCAAAAATTCCCCTGTGAATAACCATTAACCTTTAAACTTCTGGAGAGATTACGCTCTTGGACTTGAAAACCAAACAAAACAGAGTTTGTCTCCTCAGTCCTTATTAATAATTAATGCAGTGCTCTTACCATATTGTGCTCTGTTACTCTCCTGCTTCTCAGTACTGCTCTGTCCAACTTTCTGACACCCTCTATTGATGGAATCCTTTGAAATATTGTACACACCTTTTCTTTATTACTGCAAAAATTTCTGTCATCATATTCACCAATAAACCGTACAAGAATTGGTTCTCTCAATTTGATGGCTCCATGTCATTTTTCACACTGTCTGTGGACACTGGGGTCGTTTACTCCCCAAACTACTTCTGGAAATAATGTAACGATGTCTTTGGCTCACAGAAGTAAATAGAGAAAAATCTACACTTATCTCCCTTCACTCCAGGTTTATTTTCTATTTACTGCTTCTTAAGGAAGTTCAATGCTATGCACATAGGAAACTAAAATTAAAATCTTGGAGCACTGTCAGATTCAGCATATTCAGTCAGCACTACTTTTCTCTAACTTATCAAAATCAATGCGATTTACCAAGTGTTCTCATGAATGCATCTGTCGCCATTAAATTTTTGGGAAGTATCCCCATGTTTTCACTCTAGAAGCTTGAAAGAAACACTGTAAGAGCCTCGCTAGTGATTTTCCTGACTAGCTTCCCATCTCTCCACTCCAACACTCATTCTATAGACACAGATAATTTTAGCAAAGCACTTCAATCATTTCCTGTTTCAATCCACGTAAACAAAGAGTCAGTATCAATAAACTAACATGATGAGGCAAATAAATGTGGAGGGCCCTGTTTAAGTTATTCACCAAAACCTCTCTCTTATTGAAGCTGCAATCTTTAAAGAAAAATCAAGTATTTTAAGGGACATAAAACATTCCTCATCACGGACTTACTGGAGGTAGAGGTTTGGCAGGTTTGCAGTGCAGTCCTCCAACAAATTCAAAGTTAGGCAAGTATGGACGAGGAAATTCAATATCCCAGTATGTCCGAATAAGCCAGATTTCAGCTTTGCCCATAGTCTCACATAGCGTAGTGGGCCTTCCTGAAGAAAATGAAATTCACGTGGAGGACATTAACACATTTAGTTACCAACAAAAAAATTATCAGTAATTTCCTTATAAGTGATTACAGAGAAAAATTAGATCTTTTTTGAATAATTCTATGTTAAAATGGAGAAAGGGAGGCAGGAGGAAGAGTGGGAGGGGGCGGACAAGACGTGCCACAGAGGGGGGAGTAGAGGATTAAGGGCAGTGGAAGAAAAGAAATACACAACTATCATTTAATACCAATAAAAGATCCAAAAATCAAATACACCCACAGCTACTGATAAGTTTAGCACTAAATTTTCCTCCCTAGTTAAGTGACAGAAAATAGCTGAGCTCCATCACATAAACCTCAAGTCACCTCACAATGACTTTCAAGTATCCATTAAGACAGTGCATTTGTTTTACAGGTTTTATAGTGAGTAGTCACACAGATTACTGAGAGACCCAACCAAGAGCGGTCTATGATTTCTTCTTGACTCAAATCTCATATCTTAAGCTAATTTATCATTGCTCTTCAATAAAAATAAGAACTCTCTCATTAAGTCAGACTCAGCATGAACCCATTGGGGATGTGAGATACGTGCACAGATATCACCAGCATTACACACTTACACACTGTTACTGTTACATGATGTTTTTTACACGGACATTTCTAGGTATCAGTTTCATAGTGTTATGAAGAAGCATGTGTGTTTGTGAGTAATAAAGGGAACCATTTCCATACATGAAAATCATGTTCTCACATGGAAAAAAGACTTGAATGGAGAGTCCTTTCTCATTTATGGACTCATTAGGAATAGCAATGATCATATACAGCAAAAGCATATGGCTATTTTTAGTCCTCATGTAATAATTATTGAATATATGCATAAACTCATACCACCTCGTGTTTATTTTGATAGTGAAGAAGCACTGCTCAAGAACACTCAGCTCGGAACCAAACATTGCATTTGAATTTCAACTTATATTTCCAGAAATAATTGTTCATGCCTTCTAGATGCCTTATGTCAAGTGTGCTACCACTAGCCTGGATTGTTAATGCCGTATGTGCATTTGATGCGCATAAACTTTGCATGACATTTACAGAAAGTCGTCCTTAAAGTATCCATTAAAATGTCATATTTAAAACACTGGTTCACAGTTGCAAACATGAAGTCAAGAAAACCTACAGAAAAGTTTTACCAAAATCATAAAAATATTGGCAAATAATTTCACATACAATTTAAAATTACATTTAGGAATTAAGAAAAAATACTAAAGTATAACTTATCATTACCTGTTTTCTTAATTATATCATTTATATAGTACAGTTATAAGCACAGTAAATAT